TACCATTCTCCTGTAAGAACCTTGCAAAAGGTCCAGAACTTGTCCATATGGGGTATGCCGACCGTAGTACTCTCCCCACGGTCGACTGACTATCTTAATTTTAAATCATGCCGATTTTCAACTTCGCTTTAAATATTTTGAATTTATCCAACGCTTTTGTTCTTTCTTTAATTGGATAAATGTAGCCAAACCGAGAGTAATCGCCCATGAATGTTATGAATGAATCATAACCATCCACACTTTTCACGGAAAAGGACCACATATGTCTGTGTGAATAATCAGAGAATTCTGCGCTTCGCTTGGCATCTTTCTTAATTTTCTTTACATACTTTCCTTTTATGCAATCTCTACATTGTTCTAAATCTGAGAGCTCTAATGGAGGAAGAATATTATTCTTAACTAGTCTTTCTATTCTCCCCTCAAATATGGCCTAAACGATGTGCCATAATTTCGACAACGATCGTGAGCTCTCTTTCGCTTTTCTGCTTTCCATTGTTCGATGAGGATACATTTTCATTCACATCACATACGGAATTCACATTTTCACGAAGTGATAACAAATAAAGCTCGTCTTGTCGGAAGGCAAGACCAACACATTTATTATTAAACAATATCTGACATTTGCCATTTCCAAAATGGCAATCATAACCATCATGGTCCAACTTTGATACACTAATCAGGTTTCTTTGCAACGATGGTACATAAAGAACATCTCTAAGAAAAAGTATGAAGCCATCTGGAAGCTCTAGAGGAAGATCTCCAACGGCCTCAACATCTGCTTGTACTCCATTTGCGACTTTAATGAAACTTTCGCTTTTTTGCAAAGTTCTCATCGAATGGAATCCCTGTAATGAATTAGCAACATGAATAGTTGCACCTGAATCAATCCACCAAGTAGATTTTGAAAACTTTACATACAAGGATTCATTTACGAACGTAATAATGTTCTCACCTTTATTTTTCATTATCATCTTTAGGAAATCAGGACAATTCTTCTTATAATGTCCTGTCTTCTTACATTGGAGACATTGATCTTTAGCCACTGGGAATTGGTTGTTCTGAGACTGTTGCATGGGACCCTTTCCAGATGACTTGGAGGAAGAACTGTTATTATAGTTTTTTTCTTATCTTTTAGGTAGTTGACAGAACCACCTTGTGAAACTTTTATTCTTTCCTCCTCCTGCACACATATGGCTATGAGCTTTTCTAAATCTCATTTTTCAGGCTGTATGTTGTAATTAACAACAAAGGTGTCAAATTCTTTGGGCAAAGAAGCAAAAATCAAATGAATAAGAAACTCATCCTTGAGTGCCAAATCCATTGGTTTGAGCTTAGATGCCGATTGCTCATTCTCGATATGTGCTCTCTAATGCCACTTGCCGCCACCAGTAGTACCTTTTTCAGAACCAAATGCTTGATCAGCTGGGTTGCATATGTCTTTGAAGAGCCAGTGAACTGACTCTTTATTCTTTCTAGCTACTCTGTGACCGTGTCACAGTCTGGAATTGAGCCCACAATAGCAGGCTCAATCGTGTTCTTTATCACTGCCAAACATTTCTTGTTGGCAGTGACCCATTTTCTATGCTCAAGGTCATAGGACATCTTTACGGGAGCAAAATCCCGCTCTTTGTTCTGCCATGCAGCATCAGTCTCATCTGTCTCCCTCACCGGTGCCACAGGTTCTCTGGGACACGGTGTGGTGACAACCCAGTCCACCTCAGCGAGGATAAAAGCCAGGTCTATCTTTTTCTTCCACTCAATATAGTAATCACCTTTTAGAGTGGGGATCTCTTTGATACAACTCATCAAGTTGTATCCTCCTGAAAACATAATTCAAATAGTGTGAGAACAGAAATAACAACAATAATTGCATGCCTTAGTTTAACGTTGGTCAAAATTAAAACATACAATTATTTTATACATTAAATCTACATCACCGTTGGGCAGAAATAGAAATAATGCATAATCATTAAAATTATAATATTCCTATTAACAACGTTGGTCAGAAAATAACAATATCATAATCAACTCAAAACATATCCATTTTCAAAATTAAATTCTCCCGTTGGTTCGAATTTAATAATGAAAATTACATCTTTAAATACGCAGCGGAAACATTAACATTCAATAATCATTTTCCTATTTTCCAGAAGCAACTTTACTATTTACTGAACAAAAAATATCGTTGGATAAATTTTGTACAGAAAATTATCATTAAAAAAAATCAATTCAAATTGATCAAATTGTTTTCTGGAAAATAAAAAAAACAAAAACTGTGACTGTACTTTTGTTTGGCCATTTCGGCCGATCCAAAGAATAAATCTTGGCGTGGCCCAGCGTTCCGCCCAAAGAGCCAGCGGACCAGCCACAACATCATCGCTCGCTCCTACCACCTGCCCATGGCCTCCGCGAAGGCCCAAATTAACTCTGGACAGCCCAATGGCACGGCCCCAGCCACGCACAAGACGTCGCCTCCACGCCCAGGCCGCAACCTGGGCCTGGGCCGAGAATTCGGCCTCGCGCCCCTATCCCGCCTGGGCTGCGGCGCTGGCCCGATCATCTCCGTCCATCCATCCAGATCGAACGGTGGAGCGCGCAGCTCGGGGCATCAAAAACCCCGGCCGGCCGCGCCTCCCTCAACCCTAGCTCCATTTTCATTCGCACATTCTCTCTCTTCGCCTCACTGCTCTCCCTTTCTCTCCTTAGTCAAACACCGAGCGAGCGACAACGGCAAAGCAACGAGGTCCTGGCGCATCACCGCCCCCTCGCCCGCATGCACGCGCTCCCAATGGGTGAGCGCTACCATTGCCGAAGCGGCCTGTCACTGCGCGCCGTGGGCGGATCCCGCGAAGGAGCCCCGCCACCTTTCTTTTCCCCACGTGCGGCAGGATCATGGTGTCGCAAGAACGGCGTAGGTAGGCCACCCCGTTCCCTTTCTTCCCCTTTCTTTGATTCATTTGTTCGGATTTTGGCCCGATTTGCCGATTAGGGTTAGGGTTAGGGTTGGGATGGGCACTGTTTACTTTTTCCCCGATTTGAAATCGGTTCTTTCTTTTTCTCAGTCAGTCACCGAGCGGTCGCCGGATCCCGGCGTGGTTCTTTTCTTTCTCAGTCAGTCCCCTTCCTGGGTTAGGGTTAGGGTTTGGATGTCGAGACCATGTCTCAATCTGTTCGCACTTTTCCCGTACCCGATTGAGGATTAGGGTTCGATTTCTTTCTTTCCCCGATCCAGATCTACCGCTAGAAAAAGTCTCTGGTACCATTGTTATTTCTGAGGATCAACTAGGGTAGATCTAGTCGGTTTGCTGTTGAACATGATGAACTAGAACAAGCAGGGAGTGGGAGATAGGGTAGAGGTGCTGGTGTTGAACCTGAGCCTTCGGATGAAGTCGCAGTTGAGCTGGCCATCGCTGGTTCGTTGATGGAGGCAGCACACGGGCAGCGACGGGTGGAGTAGAGGTTGCACGGACGTCGATGCAAAGGTGACGGGCGAAGTAGCGATGGCACGGCGAGAGTCAGCGGAGCTTCCTGTCACGTGTCAAGCGCCCTCTTAGATCGGTCTAGGGTTTGTCGGTGGGGTTTGCGGCTCACGGCGAACCTCGTGCTTTGAGCCGCCGGCCCCCCACCTCTTTATATAGCGCAGTGCAACGGGGGCCCACCAACCATGTAGGGTTGGGCACCCCCGATCAGGGCGCGTGACCAAGGCCCAATAGGCCATTGGGCTTATTGGTTAGGAGATCAATCTAACAAAAACAAACAGAACCCTAACTCATTCTGTCTTGGGTCCTTGGAGCATGCCCATTCATGCACCACCGTTTCCTTGTTGAGAAACCGTTTCTTCGTCTCTCGTCATTAACTCTCATGTTACGTTAGATTTTTACATACTCGACGTGACAAAATATTTAGTGCTATGAAAACTAGCTGAGGTGTGGGAGGGGTAAGAACTGCCCTCATTGGATGGAGATAGTACTGCAAGCTGCATTGGTGTGCCTAGATGTACAGGGATCAGCGTATAAACATGGTTGAGGTCAGTAGGAGTATTATATGTTTAAGCAATGAAGCTAGCTAGTTTCTTGACCACGTTGGCAGCAGCGGCGTGGCTCATAGCAAGTGAGTTATTTGTGTATTCTTGTGGTCGTACGTGTTTGGAAGACACCATCTTTACCGTCACAGCCTAGGCATTGAGCTGGTGTGATAAAGTAGAGCTATTTCAGATATAACATTGTAGCAAATATGTACTTATTTGTGGCTATACGTGAGATTTGACTTCCTGGACTCACATATGATGTGTATCTGGTTTTATTCTTAAAATCGGGTGCGGCATTCATCTCTCGTCATTAACTCTCATGTCACGTTAGATTTTTTACATAGTCCACGTAACAAAATATTTAGTGCTATGAAAACTAGCTGAGGTGTGGGAGGGGTAAGAACTGCCCTCATTGGATGGAGATAGTCCTGCTAGCTTCATTGGTGTGCCTAGTTGTACAGGGATCAGCGTATAAACATGGTTGAGGTCAGTAGGAGTATTATATGTTTAAGCAACGAAGCTAGCTAGTTTTTTGACCACGTTGGCAGCAGCGGCGTGGCTCATAGCAAGTGAGTTATTTGTGTATTCTCGTGGTCGTACGTGTTTGGAAGACACCATCTTTACCGTCACAGCCTAGGCATTGAGCTGGTGTGATAAAGTAGAGCGGCTATTTCTGATAACATTGTAGCAAATATGTACGTATTTCTTTTCTTATGCATTAACACATTACAGACACAGATGCTTACACATACAAGCACCATAATGAATATTTGTGCAAGCTACATGAAAATGACACGGATACATTTATTCGTCTCTAAGAATACATACATTATTAATTCATACAGAAATTAATTGGTTTATTCGAGAACTACTAACAGTGGAAGATTATCTTCTAGATAGACTCCATGTCTCTTGAGACTTCGCTGTTCTAAGTTTGGATGAGGTAGAATTAACTTGGAACAGGAGATTATTGTCATGGACTTCCTTCCATGAAACCCGGTGGTGGTGGAGGGAGGGATGTATTGGGTGTTGACCCATCCTCTACAACGAACACTGCAACCATGCCCATCGCCAAATGGAACTCGAAGTGGCAATGTATGAACCATGCCCCTGTATGCACCAAACAAAACAAACCTTGAATTAGATCTCCTTGGAGTTCAACTTCTGTGTCCAACTAAAAAAATTATGACAAGATTCAATCTTTTCAAAAAAAATGTAAACCTCGTTTTTTGAGAAGTCAAATGTTCTCGTCATAAATATTAGTGATTTTTTATATAATTCGTTAAATTTTAGACTATTTGACTCCTTAGAAAGCGAGATATAATGTTTTTGGGATTTTAGAGGAGTATATTTAAAGAAAACCATAAATTACGTTATAACATTTTAGTGGTTTATTTATAACATCAAAATAGTGAATATATAGTTGGTCAAAGTATCTTTGTAGACTATATGTCGATGTCTTGCTAAATGCCACAAATTTTGTACCAGTGATTGAACGGACGCACAAGCAAATCAAACACACGTACTAACCTGGATTGTCGGCGACAAATCTGATGGCCGCCCAGCCAAGATTGGGGACGAGGACGGTGTTCTTCCTCGCCGGGTTCACCAGGTTGAACTTGGCCTCATCCGTGGCCGCGTCATAGTTGCCGATCCCCTGCGCGAGGACGAACATGTCGTGTCCATGGAGGTGCATCGGGTTGAGTCGCCCTGCAGCATGGCCGTGCTCTGGAACACGATGTCCACCACGTCGCCGTGCCTGAACCGCCGCACTACCGTCGCCCTGGACGTCGGCTCCAGCCGCATCTCCACGGGCCCGAACGGGATCAGGGCCGGGTCGGTGTAGTTGAACGCGCTCGGCGGATGGTCGGGGAGCCCCGCCGTGCCCACCACGCCGTTGCCGCCCCGGCGGTAGTAGTGCGCCTCGAGGATCGGCGTCGCCGTCGCGTCGTGGAAGGAGACGTTGTTCATGTTTGCAATCACCTGGTTGCTCTTCGGCTCGTCCCCTCTCTTGCACGACTTGCGGCCGTGCCGGCAGATGGAGCCCAGCCCGAGCGTGACGTAGAGACGCTCGTCGGCGCGCGCCGGCACGCGCGCGCGCTGCCGGTGCCGGAGGCCCGTCAGGTTGCCGTGGAAGTAGAAGGACTTGATGGTGTCGTGCTCGTGCGGCATCTCCGGCGCCACGACGTCAGCGCGGCTCGAGTTGGTGACCCCGCCGGTATACTGCAACGTCCCTCGGGTGGCGAACTCTGGTGTCTGCGTGTCCGGCAGAGGCGCCTGGATCGGCTGGGCGGCGATGTAGTACCTCCCCGGTGCCGCGTCGGCGACGACCAGGGCGTCCATCGTCTCGCCCGGCGCGATCACGATGACGTCCGTGGTGTAGGGGCAAACGGATGATTCGTTTTAAAATAACAAGATCAAAATCACAAAGTTAAAAAAAGAAGGGTAAAATCACAATTAGACTTCTGGACAGGGGCAAGAACATAATTTTCCCAATACAATATGGACAAGTCAGAAGGTGACGCGAAACGGTGAAAGTCATTGTTATCTGCGTGATCACTCTTTGGATGTCAACTTAGCTCCATAATATAATATAGCCAGGAGTAAACTATTTGTCTGCTTAAAGGATATATATATGGATGTGTAGTCAGTGAGATTGAAACAACACTATTGGCGAAACATGTCTGCATTCCTGATTCTACTTGAATGCTTCTCGATCGTCAGCAACACTATTGGCTAAAAATAAATGGCAAAGACTTTAGACGACTTCCAGCTCCCCTTTGTTTCACTAGGTCTATCTCATTACCAACCTCTACCAACCTCGTATAACATGTCCTCCCTGTGACATTATAGACGCCGTACAACATAAGGTGTCTCGATTGTGTCTGTATATATAAGTCGTATATATTTGCCTACTCTAAGTATTTCAATTCACCATGTATAATGTTTGGTTTATTCTACTTCAATGCCTCATTTAACCAGGTTGGATGTGCAATCCAGTTACTTCAGCTGCTTTGACTTTGTTTGAAGGACAAAAAAACTACCTTTGGCAACTATAGTTAGATGCAGGAATGAAATGCATGCCTGGTAGTAATTTACTGTAAAGATCATTTTGACTAGTTTATAACTTTTTTCAGGTAGATTGCATGCGGTAGACTCTTGGAAACTTTTTGTAGGTTCAGATTAATGTGATGGTAGGTTGATTAATTATTGGGCCAATTCATTTTGACATGTTACCTGGTCAAATAATGTGGCAAAAACATGTAGCCTCTATGACGGTCCAATGGAAGTTGCTTGCTAACAGATCATACTCCATACTCCTCTCTATTCGGATATAAGTCCATTAGGACTGTCCTTAGTCAAACACCTATAAAAGTGACCATCAATGGCTAGAATTTTGTGTTTATTATTGACACACAAGATTTACGTAAAAAGTGACCATTCGTGATTTTTTTTAAAAAAAGAGCAACTGATAAATATAGTTGGTATGATAAACATACAGCTTGCCACAATGACCATAATATTTCTGAGATAGCATCCATAACACAACCTTGTAGCCTATATGGATAACAGGAAATGCATGGCTGTTGTTTACTGTAAAGATCATTTTGATTAGTTTATTACCTTTCAGGTAGATTGGAAGAGGTCGAATCTTGGAAAGTTTTTGTAGGTTCAGATTAATGATATGGTAGGCTGATTCTATTATTGTAAATGTTAGGCGCGGTCATCTGGTGCCGGTTCATTTTCATATGCCACCTGGTCAAATATTGTGTCACATATATATGTAGCCTGCACGATGGTCCAATCGGATATTGGATTTTAACCACTAGTGCAGGGGTTGGTTTCAGTCCCGGTTGGAAAACCTCCTCTAGTCCCGGTTTTCTAACCAAGACTGTCAATCCGGGACTAAAGGCCCGGCTTTAGTCCTGGTCCTCTCAACCGTGATTGATCAGGGACATGTTAGTGTGCGTGGCCCGATCGATCCCGGCAGCGATTCTGATAATAATTAATGTTTTTATATCTAGGTTTGCAAGGTCGCAGTTTAATTGGGTTCAAATTTTAATTTGTACGGCTTGTGTGTTTAATTATTGTCTTGCATTTAATTCGTGTAACATTTGTTGGGTAAATAGAAATATAAATTCCGGTGTCGCATTGGTCTCAAAATTATTCTCAGGCTTGCACGTGACACAGGTGAAGGAAACACCAAGTTTGGGATTTTTCGGAGATGGTTTGCTACTTTTTGGGGTTTAATTGAATTTCCGCGTGACAACACCGACTAATTATATGTTGAACTGAGTCTACCCACAAAAAGATCCAGATTGGTACCAAACTTTTACACAGGCTCTAATGTGCCCTAGGCATAAGAATTTTGTGGAGGTCGATGAAAAAATCTATTAGGTCCAAGATGTAATTCACTCTCTTTTGTCTGATTCAGCACAGAGAAAAATATATTAATAAAAAAATGATCAGAAAAACTTCAGATCTTGTTTGGGGCCTTTATTTGGGCATACATGCTTGCCAAAAAAATTTTAAGCCATTTTGACATATGCGGAGTATACATGTTTCATAGAGTTGCATGAGCCTTTTCATCGAACTATGACTTTACACATAGGTTATCAAGGTTTCTATGGTTCATACGCATTCCGGTGTCGTATTGGTCTCAAAATTATTCTCAGGCTTGCACGTGCCACGTGTGAAGGAAACACCTAGTTTATGATTTTTTGGAGATGGTTTGCTACTTTCTGAGGTTTAATTGAATTTCTGCGCGACGACACCGATTAATTATAGATTGAACTGAGTCTACCCAAAAAGATCCGGATTGGTGCCAAACGTTTACACAGCCTCTAATGTGTCCTAGGGATAACAATTTTGTGGAGGTCGATGAAAAAATCTTTTGGGTCCAAGATGTATTTCACCCTCTTTTGTCTCATTCAGCACAGAGAAAATATGTTAATAAATAAAATGATCAAAAAAAATTCAGACCTTGTGTGGGGCCTTAATTTGGGTATACATGCTTGCCAAAAAAATTTTAAGCCATTTCAACATAGGCGGAGTATATATGCTTCACAGAGGTACATGAGCCCTTTCATCGAACCATGACTATACACATAGGTTATCAAGGTTTCTGTGGTTCATACGCATTCCGGTGTCGTATTGGTCTCAAAATTATTCTCAGTCTTGCACGTGCCACGTGTGAAGGAAACGCCTAGTTTGGAATTTTCCAAAGATGGTTTGCTACTTTCTAAGGTTTAATTGAATTTTTGCGCGACAACAACGATTAATTATAGGTTGAACTGAGTCTACCCACGAAAAAATCCAAAATGGAGCCAAACTTTTACACAGGCTCTAATGTGCCATAGGGATAAGAATTTTGTGGAGGTCCATGAAAAAATCTATTAGGTCCAAGATGTAATTCACCCTCTTTTGTCTCATTCAGCACACAGAAAAATATAATAAATAAAAAACTGATAAGAAAAACCTAAGATCCTATGTGGGGTCTTAATTTGGGTATACATGCTTGCCAAAAAAAATTTAAGCCATTTCCACATAGGAATACACATGCTTCTATTTATTTAGTATATAAAAGAAATTTTTTAATATATATAAACATCACTGTCGGTTTCAAAAATCCGGCAGAGATGAGACAAAATCGGCAGTGATGTTGTTTATCACTGTCGTTTTTTATTGAAAATCGATAGTGATTTATAAAAAATTAACAAAAATTGTGCCAGTCCACGGGTTCAAGCTCGGGTCTCGAGAAGCAAAGTTCTGAGTCTTAACCGCTGCGCTAGTATAGGAGGTGTGTTAAGGCTATTTTTTTTTTTTTGACCTTTTTGTGTGCTTAGTGAATTATAAAATTAAACAAAAAAATTTGAGCCGCCTAGGACTCGAACACGGGTCTCGGGGGCTAAATTGCAGGGTCTTAACCGTTGAGCCAGTTGGAGGAATTCGAAAGAAAGGGAAAATATATCCTACTTAACCCGTAACCGCTGCACCGCCATCACTGTCGGTTCAAAGAGTGACCCGGCAGTGATGTTGCCTCATCACTATCGGTTTAGACTTACAACCGGCAGTGATGAACCATTGTGATAACAGCAAGGTGCGGGTTAAAATTTTCCAAAGCCATTTAATAATTTATAAAAATAAACCAGAAAATTTGGGCCGCCTGGGACTCGAACACAGGTCTCGGGGCTAAATTGTGGGGTCTTAACCGTTGAGCCAGTCGGAGGAATTCAAAAGAAAGGGAAAAGATATCCTACTTAACCCAAAACTGCTACACCCCCATCACTGCCGGTTCGAGGTATGGCTCGGCAGTGATGTTTCCTCATCACTATCGGTTTAGAACTTACAACCGGCAGTGATGAAATATTGGTATAAAAGCAAGGCGCGGGTTGAAATTTTCCAAAGTCATTTCAACCCCACGCAACCCCTCCCCCAGGGCCGTCGGAGCACCACCCCACGCCGACGGGCACCACCGCTCCCCGCGCACCTATCCACCGCCCCCACGCCGACGTTCCTAGCCATACGCTCCTCTTCTTCGACGCTGACGCCCGTCCGTCCCCTCGATGCGTCCCCATTAGTCCCGTGCCAGCACCCGCGATGCCGTCCACCACCCCACGCTGGAGCACCGTGCCATTCGTGCCCTCGTTCCTCATCCATGACACTTGCCGTGCCCCTCCTCCTCCACGCCTGCACTCCCACCGCTGAGGCCTTTAGGAGTGATCGGACAGCTGCCGTCTCACGCCCCACGGTGAGTGCGTGGCTCACTGCCTGCTATGTGTTTGATGAAATGCCCCACGGTGAGTGCCAGTGTGATTTGTTTATCTGTACCGCTGACCTATGAGAAGAACTGCATAGTATAAAATTATCTAGAAGCTTGATCAATACCTTTACGCCTGCTTTGCTAGTATTAAATTTTTTTTGAGAGCCAACTTATGAGAAGAACTGCAGTTACTTAGTGGGGAAAAAACGTTAGGCCAACCCATTGCAGGAGTAATAGCAAAAGTACCTAATGTGGTTAAACTCTGTACATTCACTATCATATACTTGTAATCATGTTGCATAATTTATCATTCAGATATGAGGGTTCAATAAGATGGCACAATTACTCTGCACATAAACGCCGTTCTTATTGTGGTATTGCAATGTTTAAGACTGACAGTTTTTGCTTGGCAACTTAACTTGATGGCATGATCTAGCCTTTAGCAAGCAACTGTTTAAATTGGCCATGTTGAGTGGTATGTGCTTGGTACTTGGTAACTCCACTTTTAGTGTGATATTTGCTGGAACTATGGTAGCATGGTCCGCTCCATGGTTCCTATATAATTTTGGTATTGTGCATC